GGCATGCGTTTCATCTGATTACAGTATTCCTCAGAATAGAGAACATCTTATTTAATAAGTACAATTTACCTCTAAGCTACAGTTTTTAAACTGTAAATTTGTGTAGTGATTGGAAAAAAATTGGAAAACATTTCTCTGTTCAGTTTCTGTCAGAATTCCACATTGTTTTTGGAACGTTAGATCTTCAGAACTCACTTGATAACAGGTCCTCAGTTTGAGTTTTGTGTTTCCGCACATGAGCTGATCAGTTAACCTGGAGATTACAATTCCCACCCAGAAAATCTTTGACTGTCATTGGTTGATGTATTATTTTAGTAAGCTATTTTTATGGCTCTCTCAAGGACGTTTCTATCATGTATAAATAAACTCGATTTGTGTGCTTGTCAACCTCATATTTTGTGAGTGCTTGTATAATACATTTTCTACGCCATATCAAAAAACTTCTTCCTCTACTTGTTGTGGCATTTAGACGCTTGGATTAGAGTAGCTTATTGTATCACTGGATCATTTGTCTTCGCTCTCATTTAACGACTAAGGTGAATTCGTAATCGCATTCAAGCATATCATTTGATGAACATAACACAAATGTAATCAAGATAATTAACCATACAAAAATGACATTCTACAAAAATATTTGACTATGCAATGAAGATCTTTATGACTCCGAACGGCAAGGTTAAAATGTTTTGAATTATTTTTTTCTGGCTAGCGTCTTTATAGAGAGTTGGTTTTTTTACGGAAACAAGATTGCCTAGCCTACCCCTTTTTTCGGTCTTGGGCCCGGCATTAGCCTCAGAGGGAACCTAGATGGAGTTATTTTACACTGACAACTTTAAATTTTAAAACGCTTATAATACAACAAACTTGAATTATTAAAATTCAAGTTGTTATTTTCTATTTGTGATACAAATCAATATTTTATTGATTCACGTATCCAATAAAAAAAGAGTTTTCTTTTTCCTCATTAATTAATTTATTATTTAACTTATATAGATCTTTTAAAATTTCTCCTTGAACTTTTACACTTTTCACTCAAGGTCAAGTGGATGATATTGACTGTTTTACTGAATCTGAAAAAAAAATTCTGATTCAAATTTTTAATGTTTTGTATTTAGTTCATATTTTTAAAAAAAATAATTATTATCATGGATTATAATTATTAATGTTATTATTAATTATTACATGCCTCCTCGTGCAATGTTTTGTGGTTTAGGAGGAGTATGGGTTGGAAGAAAGTTAGTGGCGGCCAGACTAAAACATGGCAGAAATCCATGAAGTCACTGACAAGTCGACTGAGTCATGTTGGCAGATGTAGGCGCTACCTGGTTGGGGTCCACGAGACAATAGTCACCAGTGGTTAGAGACCTTGAATGACATGGCTGAAAATCGTTCGCAATGGTGCAAGTGCATCCATTCTTTGAGCTCTCTTAAATCCTAATCTTCTGGATTGGTCAGCACCTCTACCTTTGTCTTTCTAACCTTATCTCACTGAATTATACTTCTTGAATAATATCTTTAAACCCTAGTCTTCTCCATTACTGCTAATACTTCTATTATCGCTATCACTCTTGGATTTGAATTGACATTTGAGTCTCTGTGCTAATGTGGTATAGCAACATGAACTGATGTACGTAAGTACGTACGAAGTTCTACGTTGCAACTGACTGACTGACTGACTGACGTGTATAGTTTGTTTAACTAAGTGTTTGTTTATTTATTTTCTAAAATTAGATTTTTCACAATGATGATTACTATCGGAAAAAAAAGGCAATAATTAAATCTGAAAAATAAAATTAATCGAATATCTCTAATATAGATAGATATGTGTATATAAATTCATTTGTAAAAAGTTTCCTAAAACTAGATTATAATGTATTTGATAATTTTGAAGAAAAAAATGTGATATAATTTTTTTTCTAAAATTATTTTTATTTCTATTCAATTTTGATTAAACAAATCAATTTGAAGTAAAAAAAAACTAATTTATGGATAAAAATTCATAGTTGCATTTTAATAGGTTAGTTAATAATAATAATAATAATAATAATCAGAAAAGAGGGAGAGAGAGACGAGGGGTGGGGGGTGGGGCAAACAAAAATCTCTTTGTAAATTTATCAATGCATGACTTTTTGATTTTTCAATTAGAGTTTTTTGCACATTGTAATCATCAGTCAGTCAATCATTGTTAGACCACCATTAGAAACCTGTAAGAAGCACTGGAAGGCCGTTTCGTCCTGTTATGGGACTCTTCAGTAACAATGCGCATCTACAACTCCTGCATCCCGCAGGATTCGAACCTAGGACCTTCGGTCTTGCGCACGAACGCCTAGACCACTAGGCTGGCATTCAACGGTGTTAATGTCTAATTCTGATAAATCTAGAGATTTTGCGCGAACTCACCTATTTGTCTTCGGTAGATACTGTCTAGACCCGACAGGCTCGAACTCTACTGGTCACGTTTCCTCACTAGGACTTTGAAAACTGCCTCACGAATCTAGTCACTAGTGAGGACATTTTACGATATTTTCAATTAGAGTTATGGAGATTAATGTTTTTTACACACTGAAATCATCAATCATTCAATCTATCATTGTTCGACCACCATTAGAAACCTGGAAGCACTGAACGGCCGTTTCGTTGTCCTGGTATGGGACTCCTCAGTGCTCAGTGCGCGTCCATGACTCCCGCACCCCGTAGGATTCGGACCCAGGACCTTCGGTATTGTGCGCGAACGACTAACCATCGGATCACTGAGCCGGTATCTAACGGTGTTAATGTCTAACTTTATCAAATTCATGGAGTTGCACAACCTCATACACAGTCTTCGGTAGTTACTGTCTATACCCGAACTGGTTGAACTTCACAGTGGTCACGTCTTCCCACTAGAACTCGGAGAAGATTCCTCACCAAGCTAGTCACTAATGAGCATAGGTAATTTGTATTACGGGGTTGTGAAGATTGTTATGTTACACATTTTTGAAACCATGAATCGACCGAAGGTCGTGGGTTTGAATCCTGCGGGGTGCAGGAGTCGTGGATGCGCACTGTTACTGGTGAGTCCTATACACCAGGACGAAACGGCTGTCTATCAGTGCTTGAAGGTTTCTAATGGTGGTTTACTAACACTGATCGATTCATGGTTTCAAAAAAGAAATGTGTAACTTAACAATCTTCACAACCGCGTAATGCGGATTTAAATATTGTCTGAAAAAAGTAAAACAACTATTTCATTAAAAAATAAAACAAACACAAATGACAATTTTCTCAGTATGCGTAAAATAACTGTGAATTATTTTTCTATAGCAATCGTGAAATTTGTTGTGTCATGTCTGTCTATCTATTGTTTTGTTGATTGTCACTAATCATAATATAAATCACACTAGATGTTAGATGGTCGTCATTGACAGGCTTGAAAGATTGTGTTTCAAGTTCATTGTATGTTGATGTATTGTACACACAAACTGTCTTTTTCTATGTTATTAGGTTCTGATGGTTTTTGTTTTTTTTTTAAAATCTAAAATTACTTTGTTTCATGTGTGAAATGAATGAAATTCAACAATTTCTGTAGTTGTCATTATTATTAAGAAATAATAATGATTTGGTTCATATGAACTAGTTTCAACATGAATTTTGTGAATTTAAAAAAAAGTTATACTGAGCGCATGACATTCTAAGGTTATTGAGCTGAAATGGAATCGGTTTCATATATTTCATGTTTACTTACTTCATATTTGTTATTTGATATTCATCCAATATCTTAAGAGAAATGTTGGCCAGTGCCTATTGGTTAATTCCTACTGGTCAATTTTATCGTCGTCCTAGATACCGATGTCATGTACTCCAATGTTGTTTCTTATTGGTCGTTCTGACTATCGATGTCACAGACTTCGATGCTGTTTCCTTTTTGACCTAAATGTATAAATACGTATTATCTGTAACGTTTTATGATCCGGACCCGGATCCCTAGTCCGGGATCATGATTCTCTTCTGTACTCAGACTTCATACTTTCTGGATGCGCGTAGAATACAGGTTCTACTTCATATCAAGTCATCTTCTTTCACTCAATGAGAGGTTGGGACAATCGGATTTGAGTAGCATGTCCAGTCGCCGGATCCTCGATCCTCGCTTTCGTTTTCCGACTAATGTAAACTAGTAATAATAATTCAAGCATATCAAAATGACATGTTTACGTTCATGCGTAACAATATTATAGCACTATTATCATCTAATATCATTTATGCGCCATTGGCTTACTTCCAGTAGATTTGATCTAATAAGAAGTCAAAACAATTGAACCATATCACAAGTGTGATTTATGAAGAGTATCAATGATATTAGATGGTGACTGTGCCATATAGGGATTACTGCACAGAGTTTTAGATATATTTGGTCTTTATTCCATGAAGATAGGAGTTAACTATCCATTTTGGCTAAGTTTATTTCGACTGAGGTCAGTATATTATGAAAAAAGGGAACTTTCGATTGACAAATCTTGTCCTTGAATTTGTAGAAACCGACTGCCTAGTTAAATCCCTAGAATTCTTCCACCTATGAACACCAAACAAAAGACAAGAAGTCAGAAGTGTAAAGGAACTTATTACATTCAACATTAAATTGTAGGTTGTTTATTAAACTCTATAACGCAACGATTCTAAAGTTACTGATCAATCCGCTTAAAAAATAAAAAAAATAAAGGCTTCATTGAAATTGTTTACCTATTTACCTAATTTCTAGTTAATTTTTTATTTTTCAAAGAATTATCAAGCTAAACCAAAAACACCATTGTACAATATTGTTTTTTTGACAATATCCGTTTATAATTAAGTCACTTGTTGTTGTGTTTTTTCCAAATTTGACATTTGTTTATGTATGCATACATATATACATACATATATATGAACTACTCTATTTATCAAAAACAAACAATATATTAACTAATATTGTTTACCTGTTTATTGCCTTTTATGCATTTTGTTTTGTTTTTTTTCTATCTTATCAGCAAACACTACATCATCCTGTTCATTGAATAATAATACTAGTATCATAAAATGTAATACAAACAAGTCTACATTGGAAGATGAACAACAGAAATCGAATCTGTCAAATACAACAATGATGGTTAGTTTTTATTTGCATATTTATTTATGCATGTATTGTATACTCTCTACATTGATATTCATGTCATGTAAAAATTGTGATTTCTATTTGTCAACCATATTGATTTGTGTTCTAACTAACTAACTAACTAACTAACTGTGGTGTGTGCTACTTATACGAACGATATAAGTAGTATAAGAAGGGATGTGAAAGAAGAAGTCTCACGGTCAGAAGAGGCAAAACTGGAAAGCTAATGGAGCAAAATCAAGAAGTGAATGGAGTACCAACAAAGGAAGGAAAGGAAGCAACAACAACAGGAATAGAAGAAGGATGGAGCATTGTAAGTCAAGACTCAAAGATGGTGTGCAAATAGAGTGTATTCAATGTAATGTTTTCGTTTTGTTGGGCAATTCCTCTTCCAATGCCCGGTTCCTCCGCAAATATAACATTTATTATTTCTTCCACCCTTTATTCGTAACGCTGCCACCTCGCGTTGTAATTCTTCTGTCTTCTTCGCTACATCATTAGCCTGTCTCTCACACGCCACCGAGGCGACTGTTTAGTTCATCAGCTGTCTTGTTACTTTAGCCAGCTCGGTGACGTCCATTGGTTGTGCCGCGTTCACCAGTCTCAACTGTTGGGCAACCTCTGCAGGCACACTTTCAATGAACTGCGACTCCTCATCCGGCGCAGCAATCTTGTCAACTCCACAACCAACACGAGTGGGTCGCCATCCACCGTCAGTCTCGCCTCTCAGAACTTCTGCAGCGCGTCCTGCCCATCCGCCAGGCTGTCGAACCCCACCAGCAGCCTTTCCGTCACCACCTCCCAGTCAGCGTCCTCCGCACAATCGTACACCGCTCTTGCCCTGCCTCTTAGTAAAGTCCCCAACACCGCCTTCGCCCTCTGATCCTTGACTCCTACCAGCTCCGCCACGGCCTCGAACTCCTTCAAGAAGCTCCTTGCGTCTCCATCTTCATACTCCCAACGCCATGGGATCTTCATCCTGTGCAGAGGCAGCGACACCAATTGAGAAGACTGAGGCAGACGCGGAAGATTGTATTACGCAAATTTACACTCTGAGTTAGTTAAAAACGGAAACATTACATTGAATACTCTATTTACACACCATCTTTGAGTCTTGACTTCCAACGCTCCATGCTCCTTCCATTCCTGTTGTTGCTTCCTTCCTTTCCTGTTGGTATTCCATTCATTTCTTGCTTTTGCTCCATTTGCTTTCCGTTTTCCTCTTCTGACTGACCGTGCGAATTCTTCTTCTTTCACGTCCCTTCTTATACTACTTATATCGTTCGTATAAGTAGCACACACCACATAACTAACTAACGAACTAACTAATAGTTTGTTCTACATTGTCAGTCAGTCAGTTACAACGTAGAATTTCGTACGTAAGTACACAGAGACGTGATTGTCAATTCAAATCCCATAGTGGTAGAAATAGTAAAAGTATTACTATTAATGGAGAATTTTAGGATTTGAAGATATGATTCAAGACGTATAATTCAGTGAGATAAATTTTGAAGGAGAAAGGTAGAGCTGTTGACGAATCCAAAAGATTAGGATTTGAGAGAACATAAAGAGTGAATGCACCTGCGCCATTGCAAACGATTGTCATGATATGTTGTTCTTGTATTCATCAAAAGCTAACTGATTTATCTATAGGTAACATATATTATAAGCGTGCAGTTCATGGAAAAAACTATGCCGAATAAAACATAAGAATAATGAAATCAATTTTCTGTAATAATCGATTCCGATTTTTCGTTCTGTCAGTTTAGTTGTTATGATAAATGATTAGTTAGTAATAAGAGCTATACAAAACTTACAAATCATTCATCAAATATATTAAAAGAATCAATGAACAAATTAATGAGTGTTAGATTATTTTTGTTAGTTTGACTAATTGTTGATAAGCGAAATGAACCTAGGACTTTTGGTTTTACGTGCGAACAATTAAACTCTAGACTGTTGAGCTGGCATTCAATGATGTTACTGTGTAGTCTTGATCAGTCCACAGTATTGCGAGACTGTTCGGGACATTAGATTGCCAGAACTAACTTGATAAAGGTCCCAACTTCGGCTAAGCGAGACCAAAAGTCCTTTGTTTAATTCCTGCAGGCTAAGGTTGTGGGTACTCACTGTCACTGATGAGTTAGATCCATACTAGGACGAAACGTCTAACCAGTACTTCCAAGTTTCTTTCTGCTTGTGGTTTGAAATTGACAGATTCATGTTTTTAATGAAACTCAACCATCTTCACATCTCCATAATAGAGATAAATTAAATTAAAAATTGTTCGGATATGATTCGTCAAAAAGAAAATAGTATTATTGTGGTGCGAGCTACTTATAAGTAGTATATGACGTGAGTGTCAACGTAATGCCTGGCAGCAGAAGATGCGGGAAGATCAAAAAAGGGAGAGTTAGAAGAACACAATGGAATTTGTATGAAACGCATGAATAGTGACAATGGATTGATGTTTTGCAACAGGAACAGTCCAGTTCGATGTGATGAACTGATATTTTGCAAATTAACGATTTACGATATGGTTTTCCTATTTTACTGAGTAACTCTGTAATTTTCGTTAAATACGATTGGGTCACCCTCACCGGTGTTCTCCTTCACTACATTATAAATTCATTCGAATTATTATATATATCATATTCAGATAGAGTGAACGAGATGATAATAATCGATGGTTAGATAAACCTGAATCACATGGCTGAAAACCGTTTGCAATGGCACCAGTGCATTCATTATTTGTGTTCTCTCGAATTCTAATCTTCTGTATTCGTCTACACGTCTACTTTTGTCTTTCTAAACTAATCTCACTGAATCATACTTCTTGAATAATATCTTCTAATCCTAACCTTTCCGATTACTTCTAATACCTTTACTACCTCTACTACTATTGAATTTGAATTGACAATTTCATCTCTCTGAGTGCTAATGTGGTATAGCAACATGAACTGATATCCTTACGTACAAAGTTCTACGTTGCATCTGACTGAATGACTGACTGACCGATTATAATTAACACTGTAATTGTTCAATTTCTCTCTTATTGCTTATCTAGTTTAGTTTTTACTTGACATTTTATGTCCAATAGAAAATGATGTTTGTTCTATGCTGACTAAAAAATGTAAAATAAAAGCGAGAAAAAAAAAGCCAGTCACATGATTTGTTAAATAAAGTTTAAATAGATTCAAAGTTGAAAATTTTGTAATTTATCAAGTTACATCGAATTGATTCTTTATTAACAACTTATAAAAAAATACAATTTGGTAATTAGTATTCTGATTAGTTAGTTAGCTTTCTGTTTGGCGATGTTTAGTGAGTTATTTTTCTACGGGATGGGGTCACTAGACGTACTCCTAACCCTCCTCCTTTATCCGGGTTTCGGGTTGACAGTAGTCCCATAGAGACTCCAGGCGGAATTCGGTCATTGATTAGTAGTAACTAATATAATGTTTATTCCGGTTTAGTAGTGAGGATTAACATTTCCACAAAGAGATTACAGATATACGTTAATGATAGGTGCCAGTTTGCAAAACACTTAGGTTTAGGGTTATGCCTCTCAATACAAACTCGAACCATCCAGTTTGCCTATTCTTAATTATGCAGTCACCAGCGGATAGTTTTCAAAAACGAAGATTTTAAGCTGTGATTGATATTTTATCAAATAAATTAAGAGTGGAATATGAACTCACCGAATCGGTCAAGTGAAAACGAATACAACATTCTAAATGAGTTGTAATTTTTCTCCTAAAATTGTACATAATAATCAATTTCCATCTGAAATATGCAAAGATATCGATTAGTATTCATTAGTCAATAATGTTTGTTTTATAATCTCGAATACAGATAAAAAAAAAGCAACTATTATTAATGGATTTAAAATGAATATGTAGGCAAAAAACAAACTTCAACCATTTTAAATTAGTTTTTAATTTGAATTCTATATTACAGTTGAAAATTCACGTAGACATCAATTGTGGTGTTTTATTATATGAGCTGGATGTTTCGGTTGTTGAAGCTTTTTCATTGTTCTTCTACTGAACAACATCATCAACACAAAACTTCAGACAGACAAGTGAAGCATTTGAAGTTTTGCACGTTTGACCTGTAGATTGTTCTGTTAACCGCGATTGAGGTCAACTGAAACCTACAGCTCAGAGAACAAAACACCACAACAATCATCAGACTGAACTACAAATTTTCTCTGCCCTTTCAATATGCATTACTTTAGGATACAGGTACATTCAACCGACTAGTCCCAAGTGGGACGAAATGCGTACTTTTTATTTCACCGCTGACTACCATTTATCCTTTGCTTATAAAGCTGAATTCAATAAACGTTATCTGTTCTTAGTAGTACGAAACGAAGACTTAACTAGTGATCAATTCCATTACATTCTAGCTTTATAAAGAGGCTGTTAGCTTTACAGTGAAAATCCAGATTTCTATATTCCAATGATAATTATCCTGACTTCGACAAACGAATTCGTTTTTATTTAGGATTTTATATCACAATTAAACAGTGAATATGGTCTATACACTGGAAAATTCACTTATAAATTATTCGATGGAATAGTTACTTAATTAAAAATTAATATATACGATTATAGAGATAAGTGTCTAATTTGTTAGTCTTCAATTTTGTTGTGGACGTTAGACCCCTCAGGACTCACTTGGAAAACGTCCTAATTTTTTGTAATTTCATTCTGAAATTTTGAATTTCATTGTTTTCGGGCCAGATACGCTTGATTGTTTTACAGCTTACAATCCTCACTCGGAAAATCCCTGACTATCATTGGCTGATGGATTATTTTAGTACGCTATTTTGTGCTTCTCATCAAGTGCATTTCGAGCATTGTGTAAATAAGCTGGGTGGCTTTGGAATACATTCTCTATACCTTATTAATACTTCTTGATGATATTTTTGTGTATAGGTATGCTTGAATGCTATTACGAGTTCACCTTACTTGGTAAACTAAACGAAGAGCAATAACTTAGTGACACGATAGGCTATTCTAATCCATTTGTCCACGGCCCTCCTAACTAGAGCAAGAAGTCTTGATAAGGCGTAGAGAATGTATTCTACAAGCACTCAGAAAATACGAGGTTGCTAAGCACACAAATCAGGCTTATTTATACAGTGATGGAGATGCCTTTCAGAGACACGAAATAGTGTACTGAAACAACCCATCAACCAATGACAGTCAGGGATTTTCCGAGTGCGAAATGTAAGCCGAAGGTGAACTAAGCGACTTGTGCACGAAAATATAAAATCTTCGAAAGTTCAGAAATAAATTACGAAACTAGGACCTTTTCCAACTGAGTTATGACATGAGTTTCGTGTCAAACAGATGTACTTAAATATTCCTTTGAGATTGTTGTTTTCATTTGAAATCCGCAATCGATCGATGTAAGACCACCATTATAAATCAGGAAGCACCGAATAGCCGTTTCGTCATAGTTTATGACTCATCAGCGGTGCATATACACGGAGTCCGCATACGGAAATCAAACCTAGGGCCTTCCATCTCGCTTTCGAACGCTTAACCTCTAGATGGCTGCGCCAGCCGGTATTCAACGGTAATGATGTCTAACTTCGATCAATCTAAGGTATTGTGCAACCATAACTCCACTTGTCAAGGCTTTGTTAGATTACGTAACATTTCTTTTGTATGAACAGCAGTCATGACTCATCAATCTGCCTATACAGTAAAAAAAATCTGACATTAGTCTTCATCACTACTCATTGTACTTTAAACAGTTGTATACTGTATGCCTTATTAATTATCTCCTGTTTAGTGTTTTTGCCTATAAATAATTCCATACTGAAATAAATTGTACTGTATGTACTTAACAGTTGCGTTTTATGCGCTTCAAGTATTAATTAAAACATTAATTAACAGAAAACTTTCCTTACTTTTACAATAAATTTACAAAAAAATTAGATAACAGTTAATTCATTATGTAATATAGTATATATTTTTATGTATCTTTATTATGTATAATGATGAATAACTGATTGTATCAGCAGCAATAGGAAGTTAATTAATGGAATTTTCTGATAAGTGATTGTTGTATTGTGTTATTTCAGATTATTAGCATTTTTCTTCAACTTATCATCTGAAAGTGTCAACATCTCATCAGTGCTTAAGTTTAACTTGAAACTAAAACACTTTTTTTGATGTAAACAGAACTGATTATCGATCAGACTACAAAGTAGGATAGTCATTATTATTTTTAACAAATTTAATGTAATGAGGAAAGTACCCAAAAGTGCCACCACAGAAGACCTCACTTGTAACCCTCAAGATAAAAAGAAAACAGGAAGGCCAAGGAACACATTAAGCCGAGAAACGGAGACAGATATGAGAGGAATAAACAAAAATTGGACGGAACAGGAAAGGGTAGCGCAGAACAGACTAGGTTCGAGAATACTGATCGGCGGCCTATACCCCATCGGAGGTAACAGGCGCAAGTAGGTGAGTAAGTAAGTAAGTAAGTAAGTAAGTAAGTAAGTGGCGAAGTAAGTAAGTAAGTGGCGAAGTAAGTAAGTAAGTAAGTAAGTAAGTAAGTAAGTAAGTAAGTAAGTAAGGATGACTGAACAGTCTCATCTAGAATTTTCAGGGACGTTAGATCCCCAGAACTTGCTTGATAAATCCTTCAATTTTGGATTTTATGTTCCGAGCATGGGCTGTTCAGTCGACCTTGAGATCACATTTCCCATCAGCTGTGATTGGTTACTGTGTGCTATATTTATGACTCTTCCAAGGATGTCTCTATGATGTATAAATAAACGCGATTTGTGTGCTTGAATTCATTGTGCTTATTGGGTGTTTGTAGAATACACTCTCTACGCTATATTCAAACTTTTCGTTGGTTATTTTTGGTCAGTGGATCAGATTTGCCCACCTAGACGCTTGTTCATTGTCTCATTCTCGTTCAGCTTGTTCAGTTTACACAAGTCAGTAGTATCAAAAAACAACTGCAGCCTAAAATCAAATACATTAATAATTAACACTAACTTGTTTATATACATTTCTAATCTTCTTAATTTGATCGACCTTACTTTTTTCTGAATTGGGAAAAAAAAACAGATTCAACAACCATTTCCTTCCCCATCATGTAATCATCATCATCATCATCACCGTCGTCGTGGAAATCAATATTATTCACGTTATTATTATGAAAATGATTATCATTTAAATGAACAACCAAAATCACGACCAATTAGTATTGCTTTACCAATTGAACAGAATGAATTTACATTGTCAACAACATGGAATCAATTACAACCTACTGATGATCAGTTTACTACTACACAATTAATTGAAAAAACGGAAAATTTACATCAATCGAGTTCAAATGATCATCATCAAGGTAAAAAAAAGAGAGAATATTTCAATTATTTTGTCTGTCTTACAGGGTATATGATTATTTGATTGAATATATTTACAAGTGATTGCATAATGAATGATATTTTCATTGGCTTACTTGGTGTAAATCAATGAATTGTTACATTTAATATTGACATAGGGAAGGAATTAATTTGAGTTGTATTCAAAATAATTAACTTGTCGGGATGTTAGATCCCTCTCAGAACTCGCTTGATAAATATCTTTATTTTGGATTTATTTCGTAGACTGATCAGTTGACCTTGAGGTCACATTTCTAACCAAGAAAATCCTTGGCTGTGATTGGTTACTGAGTTATTCTAGTGTACTATTTTCGTGACTGTCCCAAGGACGTCTCTATAGAGTATGAGTGCTTGGATTGATTATGTGCTCGCTGGGTGTTTGTAGAATATACTTTCTACTCTATATCAAGACTTCTTGCTCGTATAATTGGGACAATCGGATCACAGTAGACTACTTGGATGCTGGTTCATTGTTTTGTTCTTGTAATTCGACTAAGGTGAAGCCGCAATAGTTTTAAGCATACCTAGAGACGAGCATAACATAGGAATAGTATAAGATTTTCAGTAGTTCCCTAATAATCGGTCATATATACTTGTATATTCAGTGTTAAATCTCATCATTGAAATATCTTGGGTAATTCGATTTTTCTGAAAATTTTTGCGGAGCTTTTCTATCCAACTTTAAGTTATATCCGGTGATGAAACGGAAAAGGGGGGTTACGAATATCTTCTGAAGATAGAAATTCGAGTTGAATAAGGAGTTCTACGATTTGTTTGTGATTTTCAGCTTCTTTATCCGCATGGTCTTTACTATCTAATTTATGTACACACTTGTTATTACGTAATGGTTTTGTGATGATTATTTTAAGTCTATTTATTTATTTTTAATTAGAGTTATGGATATTAGTGTGTTTACACATTTGGAATCATCAGTGAATAATTTTTAGGCTACTAATAGAAACCCAGAAGCACTGGACGGATGTTTCGTCTTAGTATGGGACTCATCAGTAACAGTGCGCATCCATGCTCCTGCACCTTGCAGGATTCGAACCCTGGACCTTCGGTCTTGTGCGCGAACGTCTAACTTCTGGACTGCCAAGCCGGCATCTACGTTTGACCTACTATTTTATATTAGTCTCATTTTGATATATTTATTTATGCGTTACTTTTTGATTGAATCAACAATACGGGAAGATTACATGTAATATGGATACTTGGTACTTAACGAAACTACTCACTAATGAATAGTTTATACGGTTATTAAACATACACTTACAATCATATTTAGATTAACTGAAACAGATCTAGTTCACTAGTTGTATAAATAGTTTTGTGTATTCTAAGCAGTCAACCGCACATTAAGCAAAGCCGTAATTTGTACTCCTCAAGGTCAAATGAAAGAAGGAACACCAAAGTAAAGCACACTGTCCTAAGAAAGGGAGGCAAACATGAGACGAATCAAGAACTTGTTGGATAGACCTAGAAAGGAAGGTTCAAGAGTAGGAGAGTAGGTTAGAGAATGCCAATCGGTAGCCTATGCTTCACTAGGGGCTAATAGGAGCAAGTTATTTGGCGTATGTTGAACAATATGATATCATCTTTTCACAAAAGTCTTGGATAAATTACTAAAAACTTTGTATAACTATGAGTAATATAAAAAACAATTTAATTAAATTTTTTTAGAGATAATCAAATGTTTTCTTGTTTTTTTATTATTATTAAACTAATAGAACCAACTTACCTTAATGCTGCATTGAATGCATTCGGCTATGGTTGTAAACCAGACTGGAAACATTTTTGTGTTTCTCCTTCAGCTAGACGTTTAGCTCATGCAAGACAGTCGATGAAAATGAAACAAATCAATGATAATAATAATAATAATAATAATGATAATGATTTATCCAATACAACTTTATCTAATAATAATAATAACAATGATAATGCTACGAGTGAAAATATTAATCATGATAATAAACATGAACAGAATGAAAGTAAAATAAGCGATGAAACATGTGCTGGAAATAAACTTCAACAAGCTACTACTGAATATGATTGTGATGTAAGTAAGTTTGAAAGAAAGAATTATTGATTTTTATGGGTTTTTTTTAAAAAAAATTATAATGATCTGATTTCTTGAATTTATGAATTAATCATTGTTAGAGTACGATTGCAATACCTGGAAGCATTGGATGTCTATGTTGCCCTGGGACTCATCTACTACTACTACTACTACTCACACTACCACTACTACTACTGTAGTGAAAGAGAACACAGGTGGGGCAACCGGATTGTATTTAACGAAAATTTCAGTTACTCAGTAAAATAGGAAAACCATATCGTAAATTGTTAATTTTCAAAATATCAGTCCATCATATCGAACTGAAGTGTTACTGTTGCCAAACATTAATCCATTGTCACTATTCATGCGTTTCATACAAATTCCATTGTTTTCTAACTCTTCCTTTCTTGATCTTCCTCCATCTTCTGCTGCCAGACATTACGTTGACACTCACGTCATATACTACTTATAAGTAGCTCGCACCACACTACTACTACTACTACATGGAAGCACTGGGCGGCCATTCCGCCCTAGTCTGGGACTCATCAGTGACAGTGCGCTTATCCAAGACCCTTGATCGCGAGAAAGTCTAACAATGATTGATTCATAATTTCAAGGAAATTCAATCATCCCCATAACTCTATGATGAAAAAAATTTAATTTCTGATTGAAATGTCTACCTTTTATTTAGTTAAACATGTAAACAAATTCTAATACTGATTACGAAAAAAAACTGAATTTGTGCAGTGTCTTATCTTGAAAATTTCTGGTTAGCTTTATTTTTAAGACAAGGGTTTCTACAGGATGAAGAAGTAGCCTTATCCTATGCTCAACTCTCCTCCTTTATCTGAGCTTGAGATCAGCAGTAACCATAGAAAGGGTTATAGCTAGATGTGTATTGTTCATGCAAAATAAATCAATAATTTCCATGAAATGAAAGAGCTAACTAAAAATAGTCATCTGTATTTAGGCTTTTTTCATTTATATCCCTAAAGACATTTGAAATTTCAACGACTTAGTTGTTAACCACTATATTTTAGGTTGAAACACTATCTTAACTACTTTACTGACTCAATCGCCAAGTAACTGTTGTCAGACCACCATTAGAAAACCCGAAAGCACCGGACGGCCGATTTTTCTTAGTATGGAACTCATCAACAGTGCACCGTGCAGTGCATCTAGGTTTCTAACGGTGGCCTAACAATCATTCATTTAAGATTGCAATGTAAAACAACTCTCTCTCCATAATACTATGATGAAAAAACTAATGTTATTTTTTTCAAATTCATATGGTTTCTATATTTAGTACTAAGTAATTCTATATTTATTTTAGTGACAAAATGTTTATTAATCATGTTGTGGGTTGATAAATGATTTATTCACGAGACTCTATATATTGATTTAAAACCATAGATGAAATGATATTACGAGCAGAGTCAATGATTAAGCTTTCTTTGAAAAATAATAACATGTTTTTATGTGAACTACTGATTACAATAACAAGTAGGGCAGATGAGTAATGAGAATATCAGGATTTTATAGGTCAGAACATTGTCACTGACCTGACTATCGCATATGGTTCTTGTCTGAAATCGGAAATGAGGTCAAAAGAATTGATAGTTCATACTGCATTAATAAAATCATAAATATTCAAGACCAAATTCTTCATTTATTAAACTCAACTGTCAGATTTAGTTGTTTATGCTTTGTGTGATGAGTATTTCTTTTTTTGATTTGACTCAATAATGATTTTCATCATAGAATTATAGAGATTGTTGTTGTTTTACTGTGAAATGATCAAATAGTCATTGTGAAAAGACCATTAAAAACCTGGAGGCACAGGACGGCTGTTTTGTTCTAGTGTGGATGTGGTTGCTCAAAACCTTAGACTGATCAAAGTTCGACATTAACAGTGTTGGATGCCGGCTGGCTCAGTGTTCAAGTGATTAAGCCTTAGTATGCTAAACCGAGAGTCCTGGCCTCCGATCCCATGAGTATGGGTCACTGATGCTCACTACTGATGAGTCCCACATTAGGACAAAAGGGCTATCCTGTGCTTTCAGGTTCCTAATGGTGGTCTGACATTGGTAGATCCATAATTTCAATCAATTTCGTTCTTCAGACACACCATGTTCGATTTGAATAACTTCAATCTATCTGAGTTTGGTAGGTTAAATGATCGCAAGTAGTCCTATATATAATGTATCCTAAACGTGTAACATGTATTTGTATCAAAAGCTTCTAGTTCTATCCTATTCTGTCACTTTCGATACAAGATCGAAACATTAATAAATAGTTCCAACACCATATATTCAGAAACATAATTTACAAGTTATTTAACAAATTAAAAACGAATCATTAAAACAATAAGACAGAATAGAGAGAGAAAATTACACGGACCTTGATTTCTGTTAAAACTTTATTAATAACTACAATATCCTGCTGTGTTAATGTAAATTCTAACCACCTGGATAGGTAGGTAGTTAGGTGGATTTTGTATTATCCTTTATTTTTTTTAAAAAAAGAAAAAACTTTCCTCTTAAAAATGAGTTACTTATAAACTACTAACTAGTTCAATGAAATATCCTTATAACCAAATATTTCTTTCTATCATTTTGTTCACATTAACACTGATCATCATCATCATCAAATCAATATTGTCTAGCTGTTTTAAATTGTCGCCATATTGTTTCTTTCACTCTCTCTCACTAAATATACTATCGACAATTACCGATGACATGATGTGACACTCTTTTTTTTGGCTGTTGTTGTCTCCAACTGTGTGTGATATTGTTGAGTATATATATATATATATATATATATATATATATATATATATATATATATAAATGTTGTATGATATATATATATTTTTAGTTTGCTTAAAAAAAAGAAAAATTCAAATATGTAAAATCACATGCATAATGTATGTAGTTTAGTGTTTGAAAAAAAAAACAGAGAAAATTGAACATTGAATAGTTGTTTAAATAATATTTCCACTTTGTTTTTCTATTAAGTTTTTTGATGAATAAATGAAAATGAAGATTATTAGTTATTAAATAGGTAAAATGTGAATGATTTAAATAAACACTACAATTAATCAATCAACAGCAACGTAGAACTTTGCACGTAAGTATATCAGTTCAAGTTGCCATACCATATTAGCACAGAGGGGTGTAATTGTCAATTCAAATCACATAGTGGTACAGATAGTAAAAGTATTATTGGTAATGGAGAAGATAAGGATTTGAAGATAATATTCAAGAAGTATAATTCAGTGAGATAAGTTTAGAAAGACAAATGTAGAGGTATTGACCAATCCAGAAGATTAGGATTTGAGGGAACACAAAGAATAAATGCACTAGCGCCATTTCAAACGATTTCGAGCCATGTCATTCAAGGTCTCTAACCATCGATGACTTTCGTCTCGCGGACCCCAACCAGGTAGCTTCTATCTACCAACATGACTCAGACCACTAGTCAGTGACTTCATGGATTTGTGCCATGTTTTGGTTTGACCATCCCTAGCTTTTTTCCAAACTATTCCTACTTACTACTCGATGAGGCAGTCGGTAGTTAGGCATACGCAACACATGTCCCAACCTCCTCAACTGATGAAGTTTCAATGCTTCATCAATTGATCTGCCATCCTTAGATTATTTCCTTTTGGTATATCTGCATCCTGTGCAAACTGCTTCATTATTCCCATTAAGTCACAAGTATTATACATCGGATTGAGTGGCGGTAAAGCAATCGAATCTCGGATATGTATCTTGAATTCCAAATAAACTTATGTGAAAAATATTATTCAATAAATGTGATTGTATTAATCAGTGTTTGTTATAGTCTATCAGTTTCAAATGATCTACGATCTGGTAAAGTGACACATCAACTTGAATCGCTATACTTAACATTAGAAAGGCAATAAGAAAAAGTTGACAAAAGTTCACATAAACAGAAGAAATCGAAATAATATTTCGAATTGAATTGATTAACTTAAATATAGAAATCTAGTTTGAAAAGAACAAGTGAAATAAATCAATGTAACGTATGAAATAACATTAAAAATTTGGAGATACCAACGTGATTGTACTTGATTTTCAAATATAACTAGTAATTATTTTCAGCAATACGACCAAGAAGCCTGTATTACATAAGATAGTTCATTAGGGTCGTCATTAAATTAATGATTGAGACCAAACAATGACAAAAATCCATGAAGTGTTTGTGAAAAAAACCGAGAAAATTGAACATTGAATAGTTGTTTAATAATATTTCCACTTTGTTTTTCTATTAAGTTTTTTGATTAATAAATGAAAATAAAGATTATTATTGGTTAATGGTTATTAAAATTAAATAGTTAAGATTTAAGATTATTTCAATAAACACACTATCAAATGACATTTTACAGGTTCAATCAATCGACAACAACGTCGAACTTTGTACGTACGTACGTAAGTATATCAGTTCACGTTGACATAATACATTAGCACAGAGATGTAATTGTCAATTCAGTTGCCATAGTAGTAGAGGTGGTGAAAGTATTAGCAGTAATCGCAGAGATTAGGATTCGAAGATGTTATTCAAGAAGTAGAATCTAGTGAAGTAGACTTAAAAGATAATTCAGTGAGATAAATTTAGGAAGAGAAAGATAGAGATGATGAGGAATTCAGAAGCTTAGAATTTGAGAGAGCATGTAGCATCTCACTATTCAATCACTGTACTTTAATAATTAGTCGTGAGGTCCTATAAACACAAAGAATGAATGCACCAGCGCCACTGCAGACGGTTTCCAGCCATGTCATTTAGGGTCTCTATATATCATTTACTATCATCTCGCGGATCCCAACCAGGTAGTCGACACCTACCAACATGACTCAGTGCACTTGTCAGTGACTTCATGGATTCGTGCCATGTTTTGTTCTGGCCGCCCCTAGCTTTCGTCCAACCTATTCTTACATCGCAAAACGTAGCTCGGCGGGGCAGTCGGTGGTTAGGCA